TTCTTATACAGAGTCTCGCTTTGTTGCCCAGGCTAGAGTGAGTGCGTGGCACTAGCCTAGCTCACAGCAACCTCAAACTCCTGGGCTCAAGAATCTCCTGCCTCAGCTCCCAAGTAGCTGGGACTACAGGCATGTGCCACCATGCCGGCTATTTTTTCTATATATATTATTGGCCAATTAATTTCTTTCTATTTATAGTAGAGACGGGGTCTCTACTATAAATAGAAATTAATTGGGCCAACTAAAAAATATAGGAAAATAACCAGGGCATCGGTGGCGCATGGCCTGTAGTCCCAGCATACTCAGAGAGGCTGAGGCAGAGAGGATCGGCTTGAGCCCAGGGGTTTGAGGTTGCTGTGAGCTAGAACTTTGATGCCACAGCATTGTGCCCGGGCAACATAGTGAGACTCTGTCTCAGGAAAAAAAAAAAAGAAACAAACAGCAAACATTATATAGGTGTGAACAAATAATCACTAACAGCACAAAACAAAAATTATCATTTAATTAGAATTGATTCCAATTGAGATGGATATAATTCTGGGGAATTTGTTTCATTCTTGGAAGTACTCATTTTGAGCTCTAGACAACAACTCTTTGATATGATTTAGTATAAGAGGCTGAATTAAATGACCTCAGGATACGTTCTGACCATAGGGTTTATATCCAATTAGACCAGCTTCCTTCAAAACAGGCCCTATTAACTTGTCCAGAATCTTGAATGGCAGGGCTGGCCCTCATCTAAGTTCTAGAACTCAAGGCTTAGTTCAGGGCATTCTTCCACTCCCATTTCCCAAAATTAAAAAGGAACATTCTAAATAGAAATGGGTTCTTAATGAGCTTTCAGGTAAGATCTTCTAGCTTTTGAGGTACAGATTTTTGCTGTGACTTGATTTTGAGGCATTTCACAATTATATCATTTGCTTGATGGCCAAGAAAAGAGTAGGGGTTTGTTGGCAAGTCTCATTATTAAAGATGAAAAAAAAAAAAAATAGGAAGAGGTTTATTTACTGTACACATGGGGAGAATCAGAGTGATTACCCCTGGGCTACTGTTTAGATGGAGAAGACTAATAACCCTTTCCTACCAGCAAATTTATCCAGCTCCTTGAGGTACCATTTTTAATACTGACTCATTCAGAAAATGCATCAGGAGCCAGTGCTAACAAAACCAGAAGTTCTTAGGAACTGTACTGGGTTCCTCTAATTGTCAAGGAGACTAACAGTAAAAATCTGTCCTTTAGTATTTTAAGCCAAAATCCATGTTCAGTGATGTAGAACTCTGGGGTCCCAACCCAGATTTGAGAAAAGTATCCAATCTCGTTGAAAGGCCCTGTTGTAGGTTTAGTGGGATGGACATCTGTCTAAACTAGCTTCCTCTACTTCTGCAAAGCACAAACCAGGTTCCTCTATTTCTAAAGGAATAATTTGTTCTTTGTGTCTGCCTATAGATCTGATATCTAAAAGATTCAGGCCTACCTAATCAACAACCCATGCCCACAGGGACAGTCAATAACAGAGAATTTAGCTGTGAACTGACTCAAGCCAACACTTCCCCAAAACTCAGTTGGAATTGCTACTTTTTTTTTTTTTTTTTTTGGACAGAGTCTCACTTTGTTGCCTAGGCTAGAGTGAGTGCCATGGCATCAGCCTAGCTCACAGCAACCTCAAACTCCTGGGCTCAAGCAATCCTTCTGCCTCAGCCTCCCAAGTGGCTGGACTACAGGCATGTGCCACCATGCCCGGCTAATTTTTTCTATATATATTATTGGCCAATTAATTTATTTCTATTTATAGTAGAGACGGGGTCTCGGTCTTGCTCAGGCTGGTTTTGAACTCCTGACCTCAAGCAAACCGCCGCCTCGGCCTCCCAGAGAGCTAGGATTACAGGCGTGAGCCACCGCACCCGGCAGAATTGCTACTTTTTGAGATAGACATTCACTTTCCAGTCCTCTAAACTTGTTAAACTCTATCCTTACATATGTTAAATCACCAAACAAGGAATTTACTTCAACTGTTTTAATTAAGCTTAAACTGAACTACAAGCTACCAGGTCCTTGTTTTTTTAACAAAAATTCCATTTTAAGAATACTTGCCAATTTCATTGTTTCTGCATACAAAGTAATTCTTCTTTGAACCCAGTGATGAGAACTGCATATCCCAAAGTTTCCCTTATGTATTTTGGCTGCCAGGGATTTCAGAGCTAAATATAGGCTTAGATTCCTAAAGTCTCGGGTACATTTTGCTCTTCCTTTAATCCAGTTTCTGATCTTTCTCTTCCATTTTTAATTTTCTTTTTTTTTTTTTGAGACAGAGTCTCACTTTGTTGCCCAGGCTAGTGTGAGTGCCGTGGGGTCAGCCTGGCTCATAGCAACCTCAATCTCCGGGGCTCAGCGATCCTACTCCCTCAGCTCTCCGAGTAGCTGGGACTACAGGCATGCGCCACCATGCCCAGCTAATTTTTTTTTTTGTATATATATTTTTAGTTGGTCAATTAATTTTTATTTCTATTTTTGGTAGAGACGGGGTCTCGCTCAGGCTGGTTTCGAACTCCTGACCTTGAGCAATCCGCCCGCCTCGGCCTCCCAGAGTGCTAGGATTACAGGCGTGAGCCACCACGCCCGGCCAGGACCCATTTTTAATTTTCTACATCTACACTGTCCAATATGGTAGCCACTAGTCACATGTGGCAACTGAGCACTTAACAGGTAGCTAATCCAAACTAGGATGTGCTATAAGTGTAAAATATATCAATAATTTTTAATACTGATTACATGTTCAATGATATTTTGGATATATTGGGTTAAGTAAAATATATTAAAATTAACTTCACCTGTTTCATTTTTCTTATGGCTACTAGAAAATTTTACACATGCGAAAAAAACTATATCTGGCTTGCACTTATGACTCATGTTATATTTCTGTTGGACAGCACTATTCTACAAATCATCCTGTCTTATGTTATTATTGTAAACTCCAAATCCTTTTGGAAAGCGGGTGAAGTAATAATGCAGAGGTGACAGCAGTGGATGGAATCAGAAAAGGGAGGTAGACTCGGAGAAATCTTTGTCCTTGACAGTCTGTCTGTTTTATGTTTGTATGATTCACATACAAACCCCTTGGTAAAGTGTGTTGTCAGCTCTCTTCCTCCCAGGTGAGTAGTATTCTCATGGCCCTTTCCAGTCTCCAGGAAAACCTGTCTTCAGCTTTACTTTGGCTAAGAATTTGGAAAGGATTTGTTAAGACAATTCACACCTCATTGCAAAGACTGATAACATTATGTTCACCCCTCTCAGGGGGTATTTCCATTTTAACAGGGAACAATCCCTAAACCCAAAGGAATGAATCCCTAATGGTGGAGTTTCAGGCATCAGTGACAGGTGAGTGAGAGGTAGACTGGTTTTATGCGAGAGTGTGTCTGTTTCTATTACTATATGTGTGACTACTTTCAGGATGTGGCTGAAAGTAGGGTCTCTGGATGGAAAGGTAATGGGGTTGACAGACAAGCTGAGCAGAGAAGGTAGCAAATCCCCAGCTGGGTCAAACTGAAAAGGGCTGTCAGGCACCAACCAGATTCAGTGCAAGCCCCCAGGAGTTTGTTAAGCAATAGAATAGCCCAGTTGATGTCAACAGAGGGTAGGTACCAAGACAGTCTCCATGGTAACTACTGTGGAGTAGCATAATGGGTCTCCAGAGGATGATTGAGGACACTGACTGCAGTCCACAACTGACTCATTGGCTTAACTCTGGGCAAGTCCTTTTACCCTTTGGGTCTCAGTTTCTTCATCTGGAAAATAGAAATGGATATTATAACTATCAAATGAGTTTTTTTTAAGATTAATATCTTAAAATAGAAATGCAGCTAGGCAGGCCTAGAGTAGTAAAGGGTAGAAAGCAGGCTATGGGGAAGGCCGATGCCCCATGTCCTTGAAACACCTGTCCTTCTCTGTTCTCCCAGGCTGAACCTAGACTCCGAGGACACATGCTTATACCTGCTGAATGATGGCCTGAACTATGAGCAGAAGAGACTATATGAACACTTTGGTGCAGGAGCCCCCTCTTGACTACTCCTTCAGAAGCATCCATATCATCCCAGGTCAGCCCCCAGAGCACAGCACTCTACTCACCAAGGCGGCAGCAGGCCCAGTGTGACCCCTAGGGAGAAACCACAGCCTTCTATTTAAAAGCCTAAAAACAGTCTTCCCATATGCTTGCAGATGTGTTGTTGTCTTGGGGGGCGGGGGGCGGAAGTTTAAAAGCAAGTCTGAAAGGAACCAGGGGGCTCTGAATAGTTGATCATCTTCAAAAGAAGCCAGGCTACAGCAGGAAAGTCAGGTGGAAGAAAACACAAAGCCAATATATATCAGCCAGTAGTTTTATTCCCCTGTTTTTACCTGAAGAGAGGAAACTAGTGAAAAGAAAACAGGCTGCTGCAGAGTAGGCAGAACTCTATCTTCACTATCTGGGTACACAAGCTTTTTCTGACTGTTAAAAAATGAGGGGTCTCATTATCAACAAACTGTGGTATTTCCAATGTTTTTGTTGTTGTTGTTTTAGAGACAGTCTTGCTCTGTCACCTAGGCTAGAGTGCAGTGGTGCAATCATAGCTCACTGAAACCTCGAACTCCTAGGCTTATGCAATAATCTTCCTGAGTTGGCTAATTTTTAAATTTTTTTATAGAGACAGGGTCTCATCATATTACCTAGGCTGCTTTTGAACTCCTAGCCTCAAGTAATCTTCCTGCATTGGCCTCCTAAAGTGCTAGGATTCCCGGGCGCGGTGGCTCACGCCTGTAATCCTAGCACTCTGGGAGGCCGAGGTGGGTGGATCGTTCGAGGTCAGGAGTTCGAAACCAGCTTGAGCAAGAGCGAGACCCCATCTCTACTATAAGTAGAAAGAAATTAACTGGCCAACTAATATATATAGAAAAACTTAGCTGGGCATGGTGGCACATGCCTGTAGTCCCAGCTAAAAAAAATAAGATAAATAAAATAAATAAAGTGCTAGGATTATAGGCATAAGCCACCTATGCTGAGTCTCATCCCTTGCTTTTTTTTTTTTTTTTTGGGACACAGTCTCGCTTGTTGCCCAGGCTAGAGTGAGTGCCGTTGCGTCAGCCTAGCTCACAGCAACCTCAAACTCCTGGGCTCAAGCAATCCTGCTGCCTCGCCCCAAGTAGCTGAGACTACAGGCATGCGCCACCATGCCGGTAATTTATTATATATATTGTGCCAATTAATTTCTTTTACTTTCTAGTAGGAGACAGGGTCTCGCTCTTGCTCAGGCTGGTTCGAACTCCTGACTCGAGCAATCTGCCGCTCAGCTCCAGAGTGCTAGGATTACAGGCGTGAGCCACCGCGCCTGGCTTTTTTTTTTTTGAGACAGAGTCTCACTTTTGTTGCCCTGGCTAGAGTGAGTGCCGTGGCGTCAGCCTGGCTCACAGCAACCTCAAACTCCTGGGCTCAAGCGACCTCCTGCTCAGCTCCCAGTAGCTGGGATACAGGATGCACCACCATGCCGCTAATTTTTGTATATTATTTTATTGGTCAATTTAATTCTTTTAGTAAGACAGGTCTCGCTCGGATGTTTCGAACTCAACCCGAGCAATCACCCGCTCGACCTCCAGAGTGCTAGGATTACAGGCATGAGCCACCGCGCCCAGCATCCCTTGCTTTTTTTTTTTTTTTGTTTTGTTTTTTTTTTTGAGATAGAGTCTCACTGTGTTGCCAGGCTAGAGTGCCATGGTGTTAGCCTAGCTCACAGCAACCTCAAACTCCTGGGCTCAAGCAGTCCTTCTGCCTCAGCCTCACGTGTAGCTGGGACTACAGGCATGTGCCACCATGCCCGGCTAATTTTTTCTATATACTTTTAGGTGGCCAATTTCTTTCTATTTCTAGTAGAGATGGGGTCTCGCTCTTGCACAGGCTGGTCTCGAAAGCGATCCACCTTAAGCGATCCACTCGCCTTGGCCTCCCAGAGTGCTAGGATTATAGGTGTGAGCTACCGCACTCGGCCACTTTTTTTAATTTTTAAATTTATTTTTTACTGTTTTGAGGCAGGGTCTTGCTCTGTTGCCCATTCTGGAGTGCAGTGGTGTGATCATAGCTCACTGCAGCCTCAAACTTCTAGGCTCAAGCAATCCTCCCACCTCAGCCTCCTGAGTAGCTAAGACTACAAGTGCATGCCACCACACCGTTATCCCTGGCTTTTGTTACCTAGTCTTTCATGAAAGCATCAGTGCATTTGTCCTCACAGAAAATGGTAAGAGTCACTGTCCTAGACCCATTGTCTGCCTTTGGTTTTCTTTCTCAGGCAATTGGTAGCCACCTTTAAGCTCAGGAAGATGCCGAATGGTACTAAGCTTAGCTTGGATTTAGGGCACTACTTGGGTTAGCATCAGCCACAGGGTAACTCGTGTTTGTTCTCTCATGAGCACACACCCACTCACTGTGATCTTTATTGTATACTTTGTCACTTCTGATTAACATAGTCCATGTTTCATTTTAACTGCAATAATAGCTATATACAAGGCAACTGAAGTGACAGACAGGGGGAAAGCATGCCTTTACCCATATTCCTATCATGGGATTCCCAACTCTGAGGGAGGAGACTCTGTGGAGTCCTCAGAATGAAGGAAGACAAGCTACTACTACGAAGGGTTAACTCTACAGCACAAAGCATAATCCATACAGATGCCCTGCCCTTCACTAAATAATTCAATATTTACTGAGTGCCTATTAAGCATATATTTATAAATGTGTATGTCAGGCACTGTGCTCCTTGGTTAAGTGTGTGTGTGTGAGGCATATCAATTCCCCGAAAGCCTGAGTCCCTTCAGGTTCCCCAGAGCTTCTAAAACATATTTATAGCAGGTTAGAAGACGGGGTAGAGTTTGGGGGTACTTGGCACACTATTTGTTGAATTAATCAGTAGATGGATCACAGAATCTGAAATGGCAGTGATTTTAGAAGGTATCTAATCTGTACTACCACCAACCTAATAGTCCTCTAACCTCCCACACACCCACAGTATTAAAGGAGTCCCCCACCATACATACCTACCATCCCCTTCCATAATGGGGTTGAGAGATGATACAAGGCAGTTCTTCATATCAAACTGACTCCTGCCTTCTGGGGACAGACATGGAAAAAGTTGCAATGGCAGGCCTTCAGAGGTTTCCCTAGGTCTTTCTGAAGCTAAATCCTACCAGTTCACTGAGCATTGATACCTGTGGTCCAATTTTCAGACCTGCCTTGGCTTATTCTGAACAAGGAAGCTTTAACAGATCCTCAGGCAATGTTGGTGGAATGAGGGGAGCAGTAAACTATAGCAGCCTGGACAGCTCACTCCATCCTTGATAAAAGAAGCTCCAGGTAGTCTCAAATTTTAGGCAACTCCATCCCATCAGTTGCTCCTTTGGAGCTTAGGATCAGCCCACGCTTGGTAGCATTTCTCAAGCTGCTACATTATCATCCTGGGTGCTAGTTCATATGAGGTTATATGACCTTAATTTTTACTCATCTGTGTCATTTCATTTCAGTGTTCTCAGGAGATGTGGGGAGGAAGGCAAGTTTATTCATGAGCTGGGGTACTCTGCTCTGGTATTCATTCTGTAACCTTCCAGCAACCTCAAGCCCCAGCAGTAGGTCCTGCTTACTCCAGGACTAAGACACAGAGCCATCTGGTGGATGCTGCCTGACCTGCAGCTGAGGAAAAGAAGTTAATGTTGGGTGGAAGGGACAGGCACATCCAATAAGAGAGCTGAAGGGACAGTGGAGACAAGCTGGCTAGCAATGCTAACTACTTCCTTCCCCAGAGGCAGCTTTAGACTGGTAACGAAAAGCTTACAGACAATGAGAAAAATATAGTCACCTCAGCCAGACCTGGTGTCTATTTCTGGCTCTGCCACTGACTATGAACTTGGACAAGGCCCATCCTCTTTCTCAATCTCATTTTTAAAAAGAAGAGGGGGCTGGGCGCAGTGGCTCATACCTGTAATCCTAGCATTCTGGAAGGCCGAGGCTGAGGCAGGAGGATTGAGCCCAGAAGTTTGAGGTTACTGTGAGCTAGGCTTATGCCACGGCACTCTAGCCTGGGTGACAAAGCAAGACTGTCTCAAAAACAAAAAAAAAGAAGGGAGTTGAGGGTCAGGGGTATTCCATACTGAGGAGTTCTAACATTGCTCTATTCCCCATTCTCGCTTTTTTTTTTTTTTTTCTTTTTGAGACAGAGTCTCACTCTGTTGCCTAGGCTAGAGTGCCATGGCATCAGCCTAGCTCACAGCAACCTCAAACTCCTGGGCTCAAGTGATCCTCCTGCCTCAGCCTCCCGAGTAGCTGGGACTACAGGCATGTGCCACCATGCCTGGCTAATTTTTTCTATATATTTTTAGTTAGCCAATTAATTTCTATTTTTAGTAGAGACGGGGTCTCACTCTTGCTCAGGCTGGTTTTGAATTCCTGACCTTGATTGATCTGCCTGCCTTGGCCTCCCAGAGTGCTAGGATTACAGGCATGAGCCATTGCTCCCAGCCATCCATTCACTCTTGAACTCACTCAAATCTGGCTTCTGCCCCTAGGCCCTTGCCATTCCATTGAAACAGCCCCTTACCACGGTTACCAGGGATTTCTGAGTTGTCAAAATTACTTTTCAGTCCTTATCTCCCTGGACCTTACTCATCATATAAACTATAGGTTCCCTGAACATCTTTAAAACTGTTCTCTCCTGGTTCACCCTTTCCTTCTCTGATTATTTAACTTTTTAAATGGACCTCCCTTTCCTCCTCAACTTTCCTCTCTACCCTCACTCTCCCTGAGCAGTCTGATCTATTTCCTAACACTTGTACACACTCTAAGCTAATTATTCTCACAACTGTGTCTCCTGCACTTCAGACCTTCATATCCAACTGCCTACTTGGCTTTTCCACCTTTGTACTACAGGAACTTCAAACACACCAAACCCAAGCCTGAACACATCATCTTCCTAGTCCTCTTTCTCCTTTTATAACCCCCTACCAGTTAATAGAACTAGCATCCACCCAGTCACTCAAACAAAAAAACTGGGCACCACCCTTAAATATTCTTCTATCTTTTCATCCAGTCAATTAAATCAGGCTGGCTGTATGTTCCTCTCATCTCTTGCTTGGATGACTGAAATAGCCAAATTGGTCTTTTGGTCCTACCCACCCCCTAAAATCCATATTCCACACTGAAGCTTCAGAGTGATCTTTCTGAAATGAAAAAATTGAATAATCTCTTTTGCTTTAAACATTCCATTGGCTTCCCATCACCTACAGGGTAAGTCCCAAGATCCTTAGCCTGACATTCAAGACTTTTATGACTGGGCTCCCATTTCTTTTTTCCTCATCTCCCTTGTGCAGTGCCTACACATATGCGTGTACACATGCACATGCACACCACGTTTGTTCATGTTCTTACCATCGTTCCTGTCCTTCTTTACCTGGTGAACATCTCCGAAGCCACTGAGATTCAGGCTTCAGCTTCCCTGGGTAAGTTCCCCGAGTTCCCAGAGTGGGTCAGGAGCCCCTTTTCTGTGCTGCCACAACTGTTATATAGCCCTTATCACACTTAATTGCCAGCTTGTTCCCATGTTTTCCACATCAGCTCCTCCCAGGCACAAATGTCTGCTTCATCCCTGCCCTGTTACTCATGAGTCTGGCACAGTCTGTCATTTTGTTCACCATTTTATATCCAGTGTATGGCACACTGTAGGTGCTCTACATTAACAGAAGGGAGGGAGGACATTAGAGTGTGTTCCACTGAAGTAAATTCTATAGGCCCTACCAGTAGATAATTCTGGATTTTGTACTGTCATCTGTTGGTTCAAGCCCAACAACTCTGGTTCTTAGTTGCCTCATTTATAAAATGGGAATAGTTTTTCCCCACCACAATCCCACTCTGGGTGTGGTATACAAAGACCCAATGATACAATAAACATAAGACCGTGTGACCTGGAAAGCCAAGAGTTTGGGACAGAAGTCTTTGGCCCTTAGTTTAAACTTATTCTGATGGCTGGCACCTGTGGGGCAGGGTCATAGTAGACTCAAGCACAAGGCTATGGCCCTGCCAGCCCCTCCAGCTATAGCTTGGGCTGCTAATCTTCCAGCTCTGTCCCTTCCCACTCCCTAAAGACCAGAAAAGTAAAGATATATCCAAGCCTCACTTTGTCCCCACAGATCTGGTAAGCGAGGATCCGAGGCCAGGGCTACGACCACTGAGGCACTCAAAGTCGGGGAAGTCACTGACCCAGTCCCTGTGGCTGAATAACAATGTCCTCAACGACCTCGAACACTTCAACGAGGTGGTTTCACAGCTGCTAGCGTATCCACAGAACCTGGCCTGGATTGACCTGTCCTTCAATGACCTGACTTCCATTGATCCTGTGAGTTTCTAGCCCTAGGAGCCGTCAGGGGGAACCTGCAGCCACTTTGTCCAGCCCCTAGCCTCTCCACGCCCACGTTATCAGGGAAGTAACAGGTAGCGTGCTGCAGTCCAAAGTACATGGGTGTGGGGTCACACAGATGTAGGTTCAACTCTTGGGTTTGCCTCTTACAGTGTGATTTTGGGTACGCTACCTAACCTCTCAAAACTTCAGCCTCCCTGTCTGAAAAATGGGGATAATATGCCAACATCATAAAAGTTTTGCGAGGATTAAATGAAAATATAGTAACCAACTGGCATACTGGAAGCTGAAGTAAAATGTAGCTGTTGTGATTGGGCGCCTACTGTCTTGTGCTATTCTGACGTGGAAGAGGTAGGTAGTAAAACTATAGCACTTTTTGTGAACTCAGATTCACGCTTTAAGAAATAAACTTGGGCCGGGCATGGTGGCGCATGCCTGCAGTCCCAGCTACTCAGGAGGCTGAGACAGGAGGATTGCTTGAGCCCAGGAGTTTGAGGTTGCCGTGAGCTAGGCTGACGCCACCGCACTCACTTTAGCCTGAGCAACAAAGTCTCAAAAAAAAGAAAGAAAGAAACTTGGCACTCTAGCCCAGGCAACAGAGTGAGGCTCTGTCTCAAAAAAAAGAAATAAACAAAATTTGGCCTCTTCTAGTCCAGGATTCCCATCAGAGGGAAAAGGACCTGGAGCGTGACTTGGGAACTGTTCCCCTGGTATAGTGATCTCAATTGAACTAATTTTTCCTTTTTTTTTTTTTTTTTTTTGAGACAGGTTCTCACTTCGTTGCCCAGACTAGAGTGCAGTGGCATCACAGCTCACTGCACCCTCCAACTCCTGGGCTCAGGCGATCCTCCTGCCTCAGCCTCCTAAGTGGCTGGGACTGCGCATGCCACCACGCCGGGCTAATTTTTCTATTTTTTATAGAGACAGGGTCTCACTCTTTTTCAGGCTGGTCTTTAATTCCTGGCCTCAAGCCATCCTCCCACCTCTGCCTCCAAAAGTGCTAGGATTACAGTCGTGAGCCACCATGCCCAGCCTCAATTTAATTAATATTTTAAAAGCTTCTCTTATATGCCTAGCATGATACTCTGTATTCATGTCCCTTGCTATGATAGAATCGTAAGTCACCAAAGCTAGAAAGGTCTTCAGTGAAGGGGCAACTAAGGCTCAAACAGGCAGGGGAGACCAGTCACCTGGCAAGTCAGTGGTAGTGCTGGTACCCAGACCCTCAGATCACAGCTCTATTTCAGTGTGATTCCCCTATATCCTTTGAAAGGTAAATGAAAGTAGGTTAGAGTCATACAGTATGGCTGTGGGGTTTGGGGTGGAGGGCAAGTTGTTTCCCAAATTCTTCTGTCTCTGCCTGCGAGTCAATCCTGAGCATACATAGATCCAGGGTCCTGTCCAGCCTAGCTCTCAGTTTCCTTCCCCAACAGGTCCTAACAACTTTCTGCAACCTGAGTGTCATCTACCTTCACGGCAACAGCATCCATCGCCTGAGCGAGGTGAACAAGCTGGCTGTCCTCCCTCGGCTACGGAGCCTCACACTCCATGGAAACCCCATGGAGGAGGAGAAGGGGTATAGGTAAGTGCCCTGCCCTAGAGCTAGGCTCCAGCTGGGCTCCCCTGAGGGAAAGGAAGAGGAGAGACAAGAAATCCAAGCCCATTCTTCTGTCATGCTTGGACTTTCGAAGGAAGTAGCAGACCTTTAAGTATTTCTTGCTATCAGTCAGGATAAATTTAATCTCCCCCAAACTATACTCAAGCGCCTCCATTCCTTGCAGTCAGGGAAGATAGCAGCAACTAGTGGAGGGGGAAGGGAATTGGGGGTTGGGGGGGCTAGCCCCCAGCCCGAGTCTTCCGCGCAGGCAATATGTGCTGTGCACCCTGCCCCGTATCACTACACTCGACTTCAGTGGGATCACCAAAGCAGACCGCACTACAGCTGAAGTCTGGAAACGCATGAACATCAAGCCCAAGAAGGTCAAGATCAAGCAGAATGCCCTGTAAGCTTCCCAGGACCACAGCAGTCCTAAAGGCCTGAGGATGGTTGGCTAGGTTTGACAATAAACGATTTGAGGTGTTCAGCAAATCGGAAGTCACTTGTACCTTGTATAAATGCCCTCCAACTAAGGCAACTGCCTGTAGCTCTAGTCTTACTTTGCCAAGAGAGGGAGGCAATGGAGGGAAAGGCCTGCTGGACTGGGACACAGGACACCTGGGTTTACCACATGGCCTTGGAAAACTTTTCTATCTCTCTGGGCCCCTTTGTACTCTTCAGCTTAGACATCCTGGGGTCAGTAATTTCCAAACTCTTCACAGAGTCTGTCTTCCAGGGTCTGTGGAGATGCCTCATGGGCCTCCATCACAGGCTAGGAAAGTGGGCTGTGATCTGTGAACTCCCTCCACCTTAATCAGATCAGAGTAGTTCCACTGTATGTTTTATATGTTGGGATTCTGCTTAAGATTTCATTTGACAAAAAGAATCTTCTACTTAAAAACATTTGCTTGCTGACTCCGTATCAGGTATTCCCAGAAGAGCCTGATCTGCCCTCACCCCTCACCTGCCTCTTCCCAGCTGCAGGGACTGTTGGTAATGTCACTGAGCTTGAGGCAGGGCCCCAAATGGCCACAGCTACCTCAGATTCAAATCTGTTCAGTGTTCACCTTTGCCAGTATTCCCTTCACTGGAGAAGGGACAAGAACAATCTTACACAATCTGAGGTTAGTCCAGGCCAAGTCTTGGCTAAGAGCTAACACCCTGAACCCTTATCTCCTGCATTTACCTTTAATTCCCCTAGAAGATGCCCCTCTCCCCCATCTCACTGCTCATAGACTTGAGTAGCCAGAAGCATGTAGTAGGGTGGTGGGCAGTACAGAGGGGCTGGAACAAGCACACAGATGAATATACTTCCTTTATCGAGGATGACAAACCAAATGAAAAGAAAAAACACATAAAAACCCAGGGTGCTAGAAATACAAACTCAATTCATTCAAATTCAAGCTCATCCAGGCCCTGGTCACAAACCCTAGTGAGGTGCATATGAGCACCAAGTCAGGGAGAGGGGGGCAGGACTGAATCTGAGGCCAAGAGAAAGGGTGGGGAGGGGATCCCCTAGGTCCCTTGGTGATCACCTCCCCACCCCCCAGTGGTATCTCCATTTTCGCAATGACTGAAGACATACCAGGCCCTATATTTTTGGCCTCACCCCACCCCTGGCCAGGGCTTCAATAGCCAGTCCCAAACGGTTCTACCCTCCCTTGCTCCATCCTCACTTGCTCAGGCTTCTAGCCTCTCTCTTCTCCTCCTTCTCCACGTTCTTCTCTGTGATTAGTAGCAGGTTAGGTAGGGTACTGTATAAGCCGCAGTGAGGCTGGGGGCCAGGGGAGCCAGGGTGGAGAGAGGAGAAGAGCTGTCCAAGGACCCCTCTCTTCATGGGATCCCAAACTGTACAACCAGCTCCTCTTTTGCGTCCACACGGATCTGAGAAAGTGCACTGTAGGCATAAGCAGCTATCCTGGAGACCTGGGACAGAGAGGACGGGGAGGAAAGGAACAGAGAGACAGGTGAGAAGGAGACATCAGGAAAGAAGGGGATGGGGGATTGGAAGGCGATGAAGGAGAGAGGAATGAATGATAAGGGACAGCAAGCCAAAAATAAAATAAGGCATGGGAAAGACAAGGAAAAGAACAAAGGGGAGAGAAACAATAAAGGTTGTGGGGGAGGGGAGACAGGGAGGATATGAAAAGTAAAAGAGCAAGGTGGGAGTTAGCTGGGGCCCACAGGCTACCAGGCTCCTTAACGGCACCTTCCCTACCTCCTCTGAGGCAGGGTGGGTGAACCCTTCCATCTAGGCATTGTGGGAAGATTGGGTAGGGGCAGGTGAGGGGTGGCTTACCTGCTGCAAGTCGGAGAAAGGGATGGGCTCACTGGCCAGCACTTGGTGGGGCTGGCTGGTGAGAGATGGCAGCGGTGGCAGCTTCTTCCAATGGGTCAGGCTGCTGCTCAGCACAGCCAAGCGGGTGCTGGCCGAAAGGGAGGGGCAGGAGTGGGAAGTTAGGCACAGTCCACCCCCCCCCAAGCCACCAAGCCTCACTCCCTCAGGCCAGAGAAGCAGGATGACAGGGGGCTCAGCTCATCACAAATTCACTTAAGGTCCACCTCCTTCAGCCTCAGCCACCTCCAGAGTGTCATTGGGTAAACAGGGCTAATGTGAATACCTACTGAGGCACCCGAGCAACTTGTGGTCAGTCTCCTGGGCTGTACCCAAATGAGAAGCCTGGACTGGGTTAAAACAGGGATGGAGGGAGAGGAAGAGCCCCTGTAGCCTAAAGGACCCAAGCTGAGCAGGTGCTCACCTGTACTGCCTTGCCCGGTCCATGTATTCATGCTGCTCCATGCCCTGGGAGTCTGCAGCAGACACGTCGATGATGTTGCTTTGGGGGAGGAGACAGAGAGGACATGACAGGTGCTTCCAAAGGGGACAAACAGGATTCATTGTTTGTCCAGGCACCAGCTCCAGGGCTAACACCAATGTCCCCCACCTGCCCACTAGAGCATGACTGGGCCCAGAAGCACCTCTCCCCAATGGACCTATCTCATCCCCAGATAGGCTGGACCCAGCTCCCTTGATCCCAGCCTTTAATATGGATAGAGGAGCTCTGCCTCAGGCTTGGCCCTGTGACACTCACCTGGCTGTCTTGGCAAGGATGGAGGAGAGCAAGGCCTGCTCATCTGTGCGAGCGGAAGGCAGGCTGTGGTAGTTGGGCTCAGCTCCATTGAGGGTTTTGGTTGGGGGACTGCTAGGGTCCAGCAGCAGCTTCCGTTCATCCCGGTCCTAGAAGAGCCCATGGGGGAGAAGACAGCCCCAGGACTGCCTTTCCTACATGCCTTTCCTAAGCTCTCTCCTCAGCCCGCTCTGACTTTCAAACACTAAGGTATTTTTATAAGGAATAACCTAGCATTCTGGGAGGCCGAGGTGGGAGGATCACTTGAGCTCAGGAGTTTGAGACCAGCCTGGGCAAGAGCAAAACCCTGTCTCTACTAATAATAGAAAAATTAGCCAGGCGTCATGGTGCATGCCTATAGTCCCAGCTACTCAGGAGGCTGAGGCAGTAGGATTGCTTGAGCCCAGGAGTTTGAAGTTGCTGTGAGCTAGGTTGATGCCATGGCACTCTAGCCCAGGCGACAGGGTGAGAGAGAGAGAGAAAAAAAAAAAAAAAAATATATATATATATATATCCAAAATATATATATATCCAAAGTGCCCAGCCTTATGGACTGTCAGGTAAGACTTAGTGCCTGTCTGCCCTTGGGAGCTCAGCTAAGTTGGTGGTCTAGGATGAATGAGAGTGGAACCAAATAGTCCTAGAGCCCCTGATTTTTCTGAAGCTCAGAGCATGTATTCAGCAACAGTGCTGAAGCTTCAGAAAACAGTCCAGCACCTGAGAAAAAGAGTAATGGAGGCTAGAAGTCAGAGGAGGTGGGTGGGAATTTCCACAACAGTAGAGTCTAGAGGGAAGCTCAGCGCAAGTCAGGAGCCCAAGAATGGCCCTCCTGATCCCCGAGGACCAGGCCTCCCTAGCAAGGCTGTCTGCTCCCAAGATGGAGAGGCCCTGATGATTCCAGACAAGGCCCCAAGGGAAAGCAAGCCCAACCTCTCAGTGGCCATTCCTCTGATTATCACAGGGCAGGAATCCCAGCGCAGCCTCTGGGTCACATAGTACAAGTGTGTTCACTTATTGAGGGCACGGTCCCTTCTATTAAGATGTTTATCCTCCTGTCCTCTGTTGTTCTGTTCTGTATGTGAGTCCTAGAACCAAACTGAGAGCACCTGGTGTATCTTGACCTGAGCTGAATAACATGGCTGTTCCCGTTCTTGCCAAGCCACCACACCTCTTTTAATGCAGCCTGAGCAGCCTCTAAATTTTCAGCAGCCCTTTTACTATGAATCTGTGCTGATAATCACAACCCCAAGAACTTACCTAAGACCAAACCAAGTCGCCCCACTCCTATATAACTATTTCTCCTTGTCCTGTTTCAGACCTTTCTTCTAATCTATTGTAATCTTTCTGAATTTAACCCTGCCTTGAGCCCATCAGCTGCAAATCCCTGCTGGCTTTGTATCAGCTATAAATTGGATAAGCAGACCTGCTGGGTGCTGGTATCTATCTATCCAAGCCATAAAGAGCAAGGGTGCCCAGGACAAAGCCAAGGCTGGGGGCAGTCCTGGCTAGTGCTGACTCACCAACACTCAGTGCCAGACCACGAGACTTCAATGTTCCAAGCCTATCTCAGTTCCTACCACAGACTTTCCTGCTGCAGGCCCCAGCTCCCCTGCCCACAACTCCGTAACTCTCCTTTTAGGGGGCCACTTCCTCCTGCCCTGCCCTAGGCAGGCCCAGCCTTTTGACCTTAGAAGACTAGGCTGCCCAAGTGTCCTCAGGCAATTTGATCCAGTTCCCAACAGCATGAAACCAAAAGCTGTGGGCTTCTGCCCCAACACCTCTAAACTCCCAGACACCCTCCCTCCCTCACACACAGGCTTGGTATTAAAGGGCTACAAAGACAAAATCCTTGCCGAGATGAAACTACGTATCTCAAAGGAAAGCTGGCTCCATAATGAGGCCCATTTGCCTCCTATGTGTCTGTCCTTCCTCCAGCCCCATTTCACACAGATCTTCCTACAGGACAGGGCAGTTTCTTCCCTAGCACGGGTTCCTCAAGAACGTGGTTAATGGGCCAGGTGCAGTGGCTCATGCCTGTAATCCTAGCACTCTGGGAAGCCAAGGTGGGAGGATTGCTTGAGGTCAGGAGTTCAAGACCAGCCTGAGCAAAAGCGAGATTCACCCCCCCCCCATCTCTACTAAAAATAGAAAAAATTATCTGGGCAACTAAAAATAGAAACAACAAAAAAAATTAGCTGGGTGTGATGGTGAGCGCCTGTAGTCCTAGCTACTTGGGAGGCTGAGGCAGGAGGATTGCTTGAGCTCAGGAGTCTGAGGTTGCTATGAGCTAGGCAGAAGCCACAGCACTCTAGCCTGAGCAATAGAGCGATATACTCTGTCTCAAAAATAAATTAAAGAGATGGCTTCTTGGCCTTTTGGCTAAGATTAAGTGAAGAACAAGGTTGTTTTCCTGAGACCTAGATTCTCAAAAGGGGCCAGCCTGCCCCTTCAGAGTGGATAAATAACATCATCCCATCCCCAAAGGCAAAGTGGAGCATGGGGTAGGTTTGTCCCTGAGTCAATGTAACCCAAAAGTTAGGGTTTCACCGTCTATCCTAGCACAGACACATATGTGGCCTGCCCATGACTGGCTACCTAGTCTATGTGCATGGCTGAAACAGACACCTTGGCCCAACAAATAAAGTACATGGCTTGGCATCAAAACACATCGGTTATGGCACTTCTCAGCTTGGCTAAATCATGGAGCCTCTCTGAACTTTGTCCTTATCTTTGAATATCTGTCATGTGTGGCCCACCTATTATTATTATAATAAATGGGTAAAGATGAGAGTGGGAGAGGGGCCTTTCCAAGAGCTGAAAGAGGAACTTTGGGATGGTGAATGGTTATGGCCTTTGCTACATGAAGCCTCAAATTACCCAGCACTGACTAAGCACTTTCTCTGGGGGTTAGGAACAGAAGGAAGAGCCCATTCAGGGAAAAGTGGAGATTCAGGAGAGCAGCAAAGCCCAGCTCACCCTTCCGGCTATAAGCTGGTATTCCTTTCTCATAAAGCTTCTTGACTCATTCCCTGCAGAAATCCATATTATACTTTTTTTTGAGACAGAGTCTCACTCTGTTGCCCAGGCTAGAGTGCCATGGCATCAGCCTAGCTCACAGCAACCTCAAACTCCTGGGCTCAAGCAGTCCTTCTGCCTAAGCCTCCCGAGTAGCTGGGACTACAGGCATGCACCACCATGCCTGGCTAATTTTTTCTCTATATATTTTTAGTTGTCCAGCTAATTTCTATTTTTTTAGTAGAACAGGGTCTCACTCTTGCTCAGGCTGGTCTCGAACTCCTGATCTCGAGCGATCCTCCCACCTCGGCCTCCCAGAGTGATAGGATTACAGGCATGAGCCACCCCGCCCAGCCCATATTATGTTTTAAGGGACAATTTCCCACTAGGCCACAGCTCTCCCCGTAGACAGGGTTATTGTTGTCCCCTTCTCTAACAGGTGGGTAAAGTGAGGTACTGGGCATGAAGCAAGGGCATAGGAAATGTATGTGTTCACTGGATGTTTGGAGAATTGAAGACCAGGAACCACCATGCCTCCCATACAAATGACATTTTCCTAATCTTAAACCCTTAATCCAAAATACTTCCACTTGCAAAGGAACTACTTCCCAAGTATGAGTGATATAATCTATTTCTGTGACCATCTCCCCCACAAGACTGTGCATTACTTGAAACCTTTCTTTCTGTGACCATCGCTCCCACTAGACTGTGAGCTACTTGAAACTTTTGTACTGTCTTTGTGTCTACTACGTGTTGAAATGTAGAACCCAGGCTTAGAGGCAATAAAAGTGAGTGGCTCAAAAAAAAAAAAAAACAATATGACTGGCCAGCAGCTTGATACTTCATCCTTGGAAAGGTGTCCCCTTCTTCAAAGGTGGTCAGGCCAGGCAGGGTAGGGATTAAAGTGTGGAGAGAAGTGAGTATGCACCAAGAAGAGGGAGAATTTAAAACTGTGCAGGGAGAGGGAGAATTTAAAACTCCCTAACCTAGTCCAAAAGTATTGTATCTACAGCCAAATTCTCAGGACAGGTACCCCTCTAGCTAGAGAAACCCTTAGGTCCCAAGCAGGGACTGCTCTAATGCAGGCAAACTCAAAACCAAAGAAACTCCCCATCCTGTCTCTCTTCTCCCCTAATCCAGCCAAAGCTAAACCCGATTTGTTGCGTCCCAAATTCCCACACGGTTACCAGGTCCCCACCGTATCTGTTAAATCCTTAACTAGCCAACTCAAATGCCACCAACTTGCTGAGTTCTTCTCTGACCCTAGACTAGCAGTGACCTTCCTTCTCCAACCTCAGGGTCTGATAGGATAGACAAATTTCTGATTCTTCTCGGGACAGACTTAACTCTGAGCCTCAGTTTACCCACCTGTACAATGGATTCGCATAGCCCGCTAATACAAGCACAGAAAAGACACAGGAAGCTGGGAAAGGAGTGTTTTCCAGGCACCCAGGCTGAGGATTTTTGAAAATGTAAAGGTTTGAAGGCAGGAGGAAGTGGAAAGGGTGGGAGCGAGCCGGATAGTCGGCTGTCTCAAGGACTGTGTAGAGACCTGGGGCTTTAACAGCGGCAGGAGCCCGGCTCGGCTACCCTCTGTAATATGTCCCCTCCAGGCCTCCGTACTCAGAGAGCTCTGCAGTCAGACTCTAACTCCTCTGTGGGTTTTGTTCTGGACCCCATGCCCCAGGGTTTTAGCCCTCATTCCCAAGCCCCGCCTGCCGCGGCCGCACCTGGTCCGAGTCCTCGTTCTCGCTGCTGTAGCAGCACCCCATCGCCGGGGTCGGGCAGGGCGCTCAGGCCGAGCCGAGGAGGGACGGCGTCCGTCAGGAGCCCTTCCGGTCACATGACCTGTGACTGCCTCCCGCAAGCAACCACCCGCCCCCTCTCGGCGCCTACCCCATCCTCGAGCCACTTGGCCGCCTCAGCCGGTATCCTGGCTTCCGGCCCCGCCCTCCACCGCGTGATCATCGCCAACCAATGGGAAGGTACAACCTGCGTGACCAGACATGATTCACGTGATGCACGGAAAGGGCGGGGAGGATCACATGACTTCATCGCCTAGTGTCTAAACTTGAATGCTCACCACCACTGGCGGTAGTGGCCCTGGTGAGTTGTGACGTGATCTCATGTTCACTAGGCCACCTTTCAGGGCCAGTTTGTGAACTGTATACCAAATGCTGTCATGATATACTCTTTTAAATGCCACGTGAGGGCCCAGTGAGCTCCAATTCGAGGCTGTTAGCGGTAATAGTCTGGGTGCACACAAAACCCAGAATGAGCAACGCCCAGTTTGGGGACACACAGAGGGTGTAGCACCCAGTGGAGTTGTCAACCTAGGTGAGGTATCTGCGACTTAAGAGGAAGGAGACCATACCCCTTCTTAAGCTGAAGCAAAGTGGAGCTCAATCGTAGTAGAAGAGGTAGAGGCCACCTAGCTGATCTCCTGGCCCTCTGGCGTTTTTCTTCAATCCTGCCTTTTTAGGGCAGCGGTAGTAATCTGACACACAAAACTGACCATCAATTCTCTTTTATTAAAACTCTCCCATGGCTTGCCTTGGGTCCTGAACACAGGTTTAAGTCTGTCATTCAAAATGGTACACACCCTGACACCTGTCTCCCACTCCATGCCATGGGGTGGGAATGATGGGAGGTGCTTCAGCCACAGGGAAATACTTACGGTTTCCTGATTTACCACCTGGACTTTGCATGTACCGCCTGGCACACTTGTCTCCCTGCCAGGTTTGCCTACTTCAAGACTCAACACAAATTTTTATATATATATATGTGTGTATATATATATATATATATATAAAACACACATATATATATATATATATATATTTTTTTTTTTTTTGAGACAGAGTCTCACTCTGTTTCCTGGGCTAGAGTGCCCTGGTGTCCCCCTTAGCTCACAGCGACCTCAAACTGCTGGGCTCAGGCAATCCTCCTGCCTCAGCCTCTGGAGTAGCTGGGACTACAGGCGCACCACCACACCCCGCTAATTTTTTCTATTTTTAGCTTCCCAGCTAATTTTGTTTCTATTTTTAGTAGAGACGGGTCTCCCTCTTCCTCAGGCTAGTCTTGAACTCCTGAGCTGAAGCCATCCTGAGGCCTCACCCTCCCAGAGTGCTAGGATTACAGGTGTGAGCCAACTCACCTGGCCAAATAATCTTTCTGATTGCCTTCTCTGACCCCATTCTTTGGGCGTCTCCAGGTTTCTGTGCTTAATCCTAATCCAGTGCTGATTCAGTCACTTATTGAATCAACAAATATTTACTGAGTGTCTACTATGTGCCACACACCATTCTATCTGGATATGTAGCAATTCACAAAACAGCCAAAATCCCTGTGTTCATGGAACATCGAATAATAATCACACTAAATTGTATTCTCTATTTCTAAGTCAGTCTCTTCTACCAATCTTGGAGTTACTGGAGGAAAGGGACAGGTTCTGACTCTTCTATGTGACCCAAGCCCTGACACTTGCTTAGAGAAACTTGAATTTTAAATTAATGAGTAAATTATAGTCTCTGCATCACCTTGACTGACACCATGCCCCATGTCTCCTCCAAGGGTTTGGAGGAGAGATCACCCAATCTAATAACTCTTATTAGCTCTCAAATCAAGACCCTGGAGTTCTGTAAGGTTTTTGAGAGCTCCTGAAGGGTAAGAGGCAGCTCCAGCTTGTCCCTGGGAGTGGTAACTTGAACTGAACATCTCAGGTGGCAGCAGCAGCTTCAACATCAATAATTGAAAGCAGGTCCAGCCTTCTGCCTCAGGGTTATCCCCCCTCCTATCCTGTGCTCTGGTCTTCCCTAAGCAGGAGCCTTCAGCCCAGGTAAGCAGGGCCCTTGAGTGTGGGTTAAGCACATCAGTTCAAGCCCACTGCATCACTCACCTATTTACACTCTCGTCTTTCATTTTTAGTCACCACCAGAGTATTTGCAAGGAGGCCTGAAAGGAGGTCAGATCTGGAGGAGGGGGAGGATGATCCAGGACATGGTAGAGGGAACCCATCCCCCCATAGGGGACCTTGGAGAACAGGAGTGAGTGGGAGAAAAAGTGTATGCTGTGTGTTTTATGTGTATACACACTTGTGAAGGGAATTCTGAGTGAGCACAGGGGAAGAGGGTAATACAAGAAAGGGGAGATAGGATTGGAGAGCTATGACAGAATCAAGGACGCTTCCCTCCCCCATAGAATAGAGGCAGAGTCCTCAGGTGGGAAAAAGGGCAGCCTATGGAATGTTTTGATTGCCTTTTACTGAGGCAGAGCATGGTGACATTGAAGGGGTTTCTGGCTAAAAAGCTGTGCTTTTACTGTACAGCAATAAGTCAGAGGAGACCAAGCAGGCAGGGGGTAGAGTAGGGAGAGGATATCCCAGAGGGGAACTAGTGAAAGGGGTCCTTAAAGAGGAGTGACTTCAGGGATGAGGGGAAGCAAGTTGGGAGAGCAATACAAAGATGGGACCAGGAAGAGGTGGTTTGGGGTTGGGCGCTAAACGTGGACAGTATGGAGACCTTGAAAGTACGTGGGCTTGGAATCATACCAACCTGGATTCAAATCCCAGTTCTGTTGTGTGGCTCTGGACTAAAGACAACCTTTCTGAGCCATGGTTGGTAATATATAAGGACAATAATTGCTACTGGTAAGGGCTGCACAAATGACGGGTAAATGGTGGGTGTGGGTTTCCCCCCCTGCCAGGGATCCCTGCACCCAGGCCCAGGTAGAGACCATGTCCCCAGCCATTGCTCTGGCCTTCCTGCCACTGGTGGTGACATTGCTGGTGCGGTACCGGCACTACTTCCGACTGCTGGTACGCACAGTCTTGCTGCGGAGCCTCCGAGACTGCCTCTCAGGGCTGCGGATCGAAGAGCGGGCCTTCAGTTATGTGCTTACCCATGCCCTGCCTGGTGACCCCAGTCACATCCTCACCACCCTGGACCACTGGAGCAGCCACTGCGAGTACCTGAGCCACATGGGACCTGTCAAAGGTCAGTATTCCCTAGCCTTCTGCTCCAGGAAGTACCCACAACATGGTAAAGGAAGATCTGGGATGTGATGCTGCCCTACTGGGTGAATTGGGCGGATTCTTCATCATCTTTAAGTCTCTTTTTTTCTCATCTGGAAATGAGGGGCCTAGACTAAGTCATTCATTCATCCAGTAAACATTTATTGCCACCTCTTTTGTACCAGGAATGTGCCAGGTTCTAGGGAGGAGGTAGTGGTCACAGAAGTGAGATGATTGCTTGAACTCAAGAGTTCAAGACCACCCTGAGCAACAGCAACATCCTGTGTCTCTACTAAAAATAGAAAAAATTAGTCAGGCATGGTAGTACATGCCTGTAGTCTCAACTACTCAAGAGGCTGAGGCAGGAGGATCACTTGAGCCCAGGAGTTTGAGGACGAAACTGCACTCTAGCCCAGGCAACAGAATGAGACTCTATCTCAAAAAGAAAAGAAAAGAAAAGAAAAGAAAAGAAAAGAAAAGAAAAGAAAAATATTCAGTGAACAATAAAGGAGGAGGATGTGAAATTGGAAGTTCTAACAGAGGCTTCTCAGGAGCCTAGAAGATGGAGTAGTTGTTTTTGCCTGGGCCCTCCTGAAGAAAGCAACATTGCAACTGAACTGAGACTAGGATTGGTTTTTGAGTTGGCCAGGCAGATGGAGATGGGGATGGGGAAGGGCAAAGTGAGCCACACAACAAATGTGGCATGAAGGAATGAGACAGCATGGTTGATTCTGGGCACAGTTGTTCGGGATGGCTGCAATACAAATCGCAGGTGGGAAGAATTGAGAGCTAAAGCTGGAAAGGTAGGCTAGGATCAGGTCCAAGGTCCTGAATGCCAGGCAGAGGATCCCAAATTCAATCCCAAAGGCCTTTAGAATCATAGAAGCCAGGGAGTAATACGGTCAGATTTGTTAGAAAGATTCCTAGTGGCTGGTGTGAAGACTAGACTGGAGGCAGAGGCACCTGTGGGGCAGCTGGGGCTGTGGTCTGAAAAAGATGAGACAACAGCTGGTTGGGAGCTGCAGTGAGGCAGGGGTGGGCATTCGAGATCTTTCTATCATGGGCTTTGCATCCATCTCCCCTCATAGGTCAGATCCTGATGCGGCTGGTGGAGGAGAAGACCCCTGCTTGTGTGCTGGAGCTAGGCACCTACTGCGGATACTCCACCCTGCTTATTGCCCGTGCCCTGCCCCCTGGGAGCCGCCTTCTCACTGTGGAGCGGGACCCTCGCACAGCAGCAGTGGCTGAAAAAATCATCCGCCTGGCTGGCTTTGACGAGCACACGGTCAGCCTCCCCATGTCCCCAACTCTAATCTCTCCTGTCACCCCAGACCTTGCTCCAGCCAGGCCTCCCTTGTGAGGGACTCCCATCTAAGGAAATGGAAGCAGCTCCACATAAGGGACTGTGATCCTGGATGGTGTGTGAGCTCCTGCCCTCCTGCCCCAAATCATTTGCACATATTTTCTGCTGGAGGACAAAGAAACTAAAAGGAAGGTCTCAGGAACCCAACAAATCTAGGTCCAAATCTTTGCCTCTTGTTAGCTGTGTGACCTTAGACAAAGCATGCATCCTCTGAACCTCAGGGTTTTTTTGAGAAAGTCTCATTCTGTTGCCCGGGATGGAGTGCAGTGGCATGCAGTAGCATCATCATAGCTTACTGCAACTTCCAACTCCTGGGCTCAAGTGATCCTCCTGCCTCAGCCTCCCAAGTAGCTAGAACTATAGGCACTCACCATGATGCCTGGCTACCTTTTCTATTTTTTAGTAGAGACAGTGTCTCACTCTTGCTCAGGCTTGTCTCAAACTCCTGAGTTCAAGCACTCCTCCTGCCCTGGCCTCCCAGAGTGCTAGGATTACAGGTGTGAGCCACCACACCCGGCCAGAATCTCAGCTTCTTCATGAGCAGAATGGATATCATAAAACTGATCCTGACCTCTTGGGTTCTGAGGGACCTAAGCCAGGGCCTGGCATGAAGTAAGCCAGATACTGGTGGGGTTTGGAGTGAGAGAACAATCCCTCCCACCCTCACTTCCATTCCATCCCCACCCCCACAGGTGGAGCTCATTGTGGGCAGCTCAGAGGAGGTGATCCCGCGCCTACGCACCCAGCACCAGCTGAGTCGTGCAGACCTGGTGCTCCTGGCACACCGGCCCCGATATTACCTGCGGGACCTGCAGCTGCTGGAGGCCCATGCCCTACTGCCAGCTGGTGCCACTGTGTTAGCTGACCATGTGCTCTTCCCTGGTGCACCCCGGTTCTTGCAGTACACCAAGAGCTGTGGCCGCTACCGCTGCCGCATCCACCACACTGGTCTCCCAGACTTCCCTGCCATCAAGGATGGCATAGCCCAGCTCACTTATGCTGGACCTGGCTGAGGTCCAGGTCTAGGGGTACTTATTGATGTCTCCCTTACCCCTCAAGCAAGGACTTCAGAACATCCCCTCCCCTTCCTGTTTGGGACCTGCTGGGATCAGGGCTGGAGAGGCCCTCTTCCCACCTCTGCCCCCCTCTGGCCTCCACACTGACCTGAAGCATCAAATTCTCTCAGGCTGCTTGGTCTCACTGGTCTTCCTCCTTCCAGAGAGAGCCATGGACTGACAGTTAAGAGCCTGAGCTTTTAACCCAGGTATGTCACTGATTTGCTGGGTGACTCCAAGGGAGTCCTTGCCCTGCTCTGAGATTTAATCCATTCTCTTAACACTGATGAAGCTGGCTGGGAGAGCTTCAGGGGACTCTCAGCTCCAGGCCTCAGAAAGCCTGCCCTCCCCAGCCCATGCTATTCTGGGTGGGATCAGAGGAAATAGTAGACAATGAGTCAGAGGTCCTGCAGAAATAACTGGGTGCAAGCTGGGCCAGAGAAAATGGCATAGGAGCCTGGGTCCAAGACCAGGGACACCCTGGCTTTCCCTAGCCCTGGCCCACCTGGCCAATTTGGTAGATTTGCCTGATATCCCTTAAGTACCCTTTCCCCAAAGTCCAAGATACTAGAATCCTCTGGGTCCCGCCAACAAATAGGGAGTAGACATGGGGGAAGAAAAATCACTCCTGTGTCTTTATTAAAGAGTTAGAAAGCAACCAGACCTGGCAACCGAGGGGTGAGGTACTGGCCAAAAAGGTGGAGTGGGCTCAGGCCTTGGGGATTCAAGAGCAAACTGATGGCCTGGGAGGTGCCAAGGAGACCATGGCAGCAGCTGAGGAGGTACCCAAGGGCACTTTCAGGCACTGGGGCCATCAGCTGGTTCTGTGGGGCAGGGGTGGGGGGATGCAGGGTAGGTTGGGCTGGCCTGGAATCTCCCTGAGGCCACCCTGCTTTGTCTACCTAGATCATCCACTGGTCCTGATCCTGTTCGTTGCCTTCCATGTCCACCTGGAGAGGAGGCTGGGTGTGGGTGGGGAGGGGCCTCAGCCAGCCTCAGCCCCAGATTCTGCCCCTGGCTGGATCCAGGGTTTCTGTACCCCTTGGCCATTGATTAGGTCAGGGGCAGGGGCCCAGGAACAGAGGCCCTCCCCCACACTCCCACCTACCTCATTGACCTCTCCATCATCAGGTGACTCATTGTAGTCATTCATCTCATCCATGTCCTGCATGTCTTCATCATCCTCTGAGTCTTCTTCACTATCCTCATCGTCTTCATCATCCTCCTCTTCTTCATCATCATAGTGCTGGTAGGGCAGGGGAGAGCCTATAAGTCCTACAGGCCTGCCTGGACCAATTCAAGACTTAGCCCACTTGGAACCTCTTTCTGGGGTCAATAAATGACCCCCTACTTCCCAATCCTGCCCTCCTTGAATCTAGCAGGCTAGTGCATGTTCTACAGGACTTTAGTGCTAGGCCCACCCCCTTTAGTTCCCCTTTCTGGTATCTTCCCAGAGCTGAGAGTCATAATTGCTTTCTGGGTCAGAGGCAGAATATTCAGAATTAGAGCAGAACCTTGGTCCACCCTGGGCCCCACACAGGCCCCACCTGCTAGAGCCACTCACCTCTGAAGCTGGCTTGCCAATAGGAACCAGGTTGTTGTCTTTCTCTGCGATGCTTTGGAGCTGTAAGCAAAGAGGGGGAGGAACATAGTGGGGCCCAAGCAGGGCAGGTCAGGGTCATGGGACTGGCCCACTCTGTTCCCAAGAAGACCCCAAGTGTGGGGGAGAAGCTTCTTCCCAGTTCTCAGGAAGATCCTTTTCTCTCCTTATGTTATCTGCCACTTACTTATGAACTTGATCCAACTACTTACACTCTCAAGGCCTTGGTTTTCTCATATAATTATGGTGAGGGTGAAGTGAGAGACTTACCAGCCTAGAACATGGTGTTGGTTAGGTCCTCAATAAATACTCAAAATTATTATTTCCTATGCTTTAGGGAAAAGAGCTTGGGCTGTGTCAGGAGACTGGGCTCTAATCTGTCCCAGAAGTCCCATAGTCACCTAGCAAATTAGGGTACCCTAAGGATGAAGACCTTGGCCCCCAGGCTCCTAGCCTGATTATTCCCAGCTCTGGGCAAAAAGCTCTTCCAGGGCAGGTCTTCAGAGTAAGGCTGGGTCATGGCTCTCTGAAGGGCAGTGTCTTGATTGTGCTGTGCTAGGTCCTCACTCACCCAGGCCTGATGCTGCTGTTCCTGCTGCTGCAGCTCTGTCTCCTCCACACAAGGTCGATCCAGATTAAACCACAGTGTCTCGGTCACACGGGGGAAGAGTGAGGGGAACAAGGTGGTCATGGCTCCTAGACTGGGGGAAAGGGTCGGGTGAATGTGTTTTGGTTTTTATTTGGTTGCAATTTGATTTAGGGACGGGCTAGAATGGAAGGTATCAGGGAAGCAGGCCTTCCCTCTAGGAATCAGACAGACCTGGCTTGAGTCTGGCTCCACCACTTACTAGCTGACCTTGGCCAAGTCACTTAACCTCTTTGGGCCTCAGTTTCCTCATCTGTAAAATGGGGATAATAACAATTATACTACTCCCAAAGTTATTCTGCTAATTAAGTAAATTAATGGATAAGCTGTTTATAGGCTGGGAAGGAAGAGTATGGGAGCCAAATGAAGAATAGGAATCCAGAATGCAGACTGGCATTATGAAATCATACAAAATTAGAGGTAGCAAGGCTCTACTGAAATTATCTCTACTTCCTCCAAACACTAAAACCTGCTTTTTGCCCCTTTATGATGGTCCATACTATGTTCGCCCAGTGTCAGAAATAAAAGGCCATTAACCACCTCTCTCATGGATCACAGCCAAATTTGGGGATGGGGCATGTAGCATGTGCAAGCAGGGTTCTGTAAGACATTCTAGAAGACATGAGTAAATGGATAAATAAATAGATGGAAAACCTGAATGGATGAACTAACATGTAAGAGACCAAGCAAAATCAGCTTTGACTCATGGGTTGAGGGAGCTGACCAGGAAAGGAAGGTCCCAGAGAATCTGAATTAAAACCCCTGAGCTCACAGACAGGAAAACCGAGGCCCAGCAACAGGCAGAGACTGGCTTTAGGTCACACATTGGTCGGGGCTTAGAACTTCAGCGCGAAAAGGGATCCAGGCCGGGCACTAGAATTGATGAGAAGAAAAAGATCTGTGTCTGGTCCCGCTTTTGTCCTAACTTATTTGACCGACCCAGGGCCAGCCGCTGCCCTTCCCTGGGCCTCAGCTTCCCAGCTGGTATAACCAGTAGAAGAACATCCACTCTCACGTCCGAGAAGTACTGACAGGCCAGAGATCTCTGCTTCGAAAGCCTAACCCACTGCCGCCGATTCTTTGCTCATTACTACAATGACTGTGCGCTTGACCAACAGGAAGAAGGCAGGGGCGGGACTCGGACAGAAAATTGCCCTTATAGGGTTGCTAATCGCGAAAGGAGCGCGGCATGGGTAGGGCCAATTAACTGAAAGAAATGCTGAGTGACAGGAAGTGACACCAATGAATGACGGATCTCGTGTGACGGGGTGGGGCTTAGTCTCGAGGAAGCGGCCAATGCACTGGAGCTCTTTAAGGGTGAAGGACTCTGAAAGTGGAGCTCCTGAGGAGGCGGGTCAAAGAAACTGGGTTTCTCTGGGGAAAGGAGGAAAGAAAGAGCAAGGAGACAGCCGCAGCTTTGCTTCTGTACTTACCGCGCCGGCAGCCGGCAGCCGGCGGCGACCCGGAAGCGCTTCTCTCAGACTGAGCGGAAGGACCCACCAGAATCCGGGACTCACTAAACGCATGCGTCCTTGGTCTCCTTTTGTTTCCCGCTCCCGCCCACCATACCGGATGTGACGTTGGACACACCTTAGTCACGTTGTCAGGGAAGGAAATATGCCGCAGCTACCTATCGGCCCCGCCCTGAGTCTCAGCCAATCGGCCTCTCCATTCTGGCCCCGCCACTCAGTCCCCAGGCAATTTTTGCTCATTAACCCCTTCTGAAAAAGAGCTAACGGCAAGCTGCGTTAGTACTAAGGCTGTTTGTCCTGCTGAGTCCCAGGAAAGTTAATCTACTGCTCCTTGGAATTGCTGGTTGATTTTATGCCCCTCCTATCTGCGCTCTCTCAGCCTCAGTTTCTGGTTTGAGCACATTCATTCTTTTATGTATGCCTTGAACAAAAATATTTGCGTTCCTAGTCCAGGCTCTACAGAAGCTGGGGATAAATACATGAACATGGTCGCTTCCCCCAACGATCTCCACAGTCCTCACAGACACTGAAGACCAGGGTGAACTCACTGGTCTCTTAAGGTTGCCGGTCCAGTTCTGACATTAGAGATTATGTACAGACTTGATTGACTAGTCAGCCTCAAGCACAGAATACTGCCGCTGGGAAACTTAGCTGCCCTCCCCAGACCTGGGCCATATCTGCTTAGAGATTAGCCTTGCATACAAGCACAAAATGCTTCCTGACATTAGAAAATAAAAAATTAAAAAAAAAAAAATCAGCCTTGTGGCTTCTCCCACCCCTTTGCTGTTGCCTCTGTTCTAGTAATCTTTGCCTCAGCCTTCCTTCCCTTCAGGGATCCTCATGCCTTCTGGCAACAAAGGTCCTTCAAACCCAACTCCCATCAGGCTCCATCAATTCCCAGTCTCTTCCAGGGCCAAAATTCATCCACAGTTGCACTCCTGTCCCGACCAGGTGTATGAATTTTGGCGAGTCCTTTTCCTTTGCCTGTACTATTTCTTCTTGAACAGGCATCATAATCTCTGCCCACCCTTCCTTCTATCCTGGAGTCTGGTGAAGATTGGATGAAGTAACAAGAAGTAGTGTACTGTATATTTTGAATGTGATTAGGTTGCCAAGCAGCTCTGCTTATTATAAAGTTTTTCATTAAAGAGTAAAACTTGTCTTCTGGAAATGTCTATCCTTTTCATTCGTTCATTCAACAAATATCTACCGAATGCCTTAGTATATGTCTCTCACTATCCTAAGTAGTGGGTATGTAACAGTGAACAAGGCAAACCAGAAAGTCCCTCTCTTTATGCAGCTTCGTGCAGCTTCCATTCTAATGAGAGAGATAAAGAAGATAGATACTCAGGCCTGTAATCCTAGCACTCTGGGAGGCGGAGGTGGGCGGATTGCTCGAGGTCAGGAGTTCGAAACCAGCCTGAGCAAGAGCGAGACTCCGTCTCTACTATAAATAGAAAGAAATTAATTGGCCAACTAATATATATAGAAAAAAATTAGCCAGGCATGGTGGCGCATGCCTGTAGTCCCAGCTACTCAGGAGGCTGAGGCAGGAGGATTGCTTGAGCCCAGGAGTTTGAGGTTGCTGTGAGGTAGGCTGATGCCACGGCACTCACTCTAGCCTGGGCAACAGAGTGAGACTCTGTCTCAAAAAAAAAAAAAAAAAGAAGATAGATAAATAAAATTTTTAGTTTTAAAATTGTGGGAATACTGAGGAGAAAAGAATGGCGTGGCCACTTGGCTCTGGGTGGCCAATGATGAGAACTGCGGCATCTGCATTTAATGGCTGCTGTCCCGACTGTAAGGTGCCCTGCGACGACTGCCCGCTGGCGTGGGGCCGGTGTTTGGGCTGCTTCTACATGCACTGCATCTCATGTGGCCGCATGCGCAGCAGGCCCAGCAGCACTGCCCCATGTGCCGCCAGGAGTGGAAGTTCAAGGAGTGAGGGCTCTTGCCTCAGTGGCTCCGCCACCCCACGTGGCATCCTGAGAAAGTCTTCCTGATGGGACCGGTGTGGGGACCTATGACAGAGCTGGGAAAAGGACCAGAGCTGCATCTGTTTTTCCATTACAATGTTGATACTTTTATCCAATAAGTAAGACTCATTAAACTACTGGAAACTTGAAAAAAAAAAAAAATAAATAAAACATTGGCAGGGGAAGTGGTTTATTTTCTTTTTAATTTTTTATTTCTCTTATTATTAATTTCACAGGTAGAAAGAAGTGTTTTGTTTTAGATTGAGGGGCCAAGGAAGTCACTGAGAAGGTGACTTTGAATAAAGATCTGAAGGAAGAGAAAGGATATTTGGGGAAAAGCATTTCAGGGAGAGAGCACAGCAAGTGCATAGGGCCTATGGGATGGAGCACAGCGTCCTATGGGCAGAGTAGTCGAAGACGGCAACAGAGAGGAGCTAGATAGATACGGCCTTGCAGGTCATAGTAAGGCTTTTACTCCATGTTGGGGCACCAGTGGAGGGTTGTGAGCAGAGGATCTGCACAATCTTCTGCAGGATTGTGCAGAGGATTTTGACAGAGAGACTCTGGTTATTCTGTGAAGAATAGACTCAGAGGGACAGTGGCGGAAGTATGGAGACCCATTGGAAGCCTATTATAATAATCCAGAGGTAGTAGATGAGAAGTGGTTGAATTTTGAATATATTTAGAAGGTAGAGACAACAGGTTTGCTGACAGATTGGATGTAGAGTATGAGAGGAAGAAAGGAGCCAAAATTTTTGGCCTAAACAACTGGAAGATTGGTGTTGATAGTTTTTGAGTTGTGAAAGACTGGGGAGACGATTTGCAGGGAGGGTGGGAGTGAATATCTGAAGCGCAGTTTGGGGTGTGTTAAGTTTGAGATGCCCATTAGAGTAGGGATGTTAAGGAGGCAGGAAGGCCAATGGGTCTGCAGGTCAGGGGAGAGATCTGGGCTGAATATATAAATTTAGGAGTCATCAGCACATAGATGGTGTTTAAAGTCATGAGACTGGATGAGATCACCAAGGGAGTGAGTGTAGATGGAAAAGTTTCCTCTAATATTCCGAATTTGAGGAAACTAGGAGAAGCAGCAAACTAGATGGGGATAAAAAAGCAGCAAACCAGATGGCCAAAAAGATAAGTAGAGAGCAGGTGAGTTGGTGGTATCCTGGAAGCCAAGTAAAGAATGGTATTAGGAAGGAGGAAAAGATATATTGCAGCCTAGTTCTATACAAAATTGTGTTCCTATTTGTTTCCCCAGCAGACCATGAGCTCCTTGAGAGCAAAGACTGAATGATTTCCATGTCCCCAAGGCCCAGCCAGACCTTCTGGATTCCTCATCTGTTCCTCCTGTGACCTATATCTCCATCAGTCTCTCTTCCTGCTTCTTTTTTTTAAATAGGATCCCTACCTAAGGCACCTGTGCCTCCCATCCTTCATGATAGCTCTAGCCTGCTGGAAATTCCCCGGTAACCTAGAATTGCTTTCCAAGGTCCTCAGCCATGTTCAACAAGTTATGGTGACTGGTTAGCTGGTGACATTTATTGAGTGACAACTGAGTGCCAGACACCTTGCTAGGCCCTGGAGACAGAAAGCAGAAATAGTTCCTGCCCTAAAGAAAAATATAGTCCAGTAAGAACTAAAATAATTAAAGACAATTATAGTGGAAGGTGGTAAATGTTAAAACCAATGTATGTAGACAGTATTGCAAGAGCATAGAGGAGGAGGATATGAAAAGATTCTGGGCCGGGCGCTGTGGCTCACGCCTGTAATCCTAGCTCTTGGGAGGCCGAGGCGGGCGGATTGCTCAAGGTCAGGAGTTCAAAACCAGCCTGAGCAAGAGCGAGACCCCGTCTCTACTATAAATAGAAAGAAATTAATTGGCCAACTGATATATATATAAAAAATTAGCCGGGCATGGTGGCGCATGCCTGTAGTCCCAGCTACCCGGGAGGCTGAGGCAGAAGGATCACTGGAGCCCAGGAGTTTGAGGTTGCTGTGAGCTAGGCTGACACCATGGCACTCACTCTAGCCTGGGCAACAAAGCGAGACTCTGTCTCAAAAAAAAAAAAAAAAAATAAAAAAAAAATAAAAATGAAAAGATTCTGGACAAACTAAGTTTCGACTTTTGATCTAGAGAAGGAAACATTTGAGTGGGCCTTGAGGAATGAGTAGAAGTTAAGGCTACTGGTAGACAAATGGGAAAATGGGGTATACAAGGAGACATATTATATTCAAGATCACGGAATTGACTGGATACAGTAGCTTGTGCCTGTAATCCTAGCACTTTAGGATGCTGAGGTTGGAGAATCACTTGAGGCCAGGAGTTCATAGCAAAAACACTACAAAAAATAGAAAAATTAGTGGGGCGTGGTAGTGCACACCTATAGTCCCAGCTACTTGGGAGGTGGAGGCAGGAGGATTTCTTGAGCCCAGGAGTTTGAGGTTGCAGTGAGCTATGATGATGACACTGCACTCCATCCTGGGTGGCTGAGTGAGACCTGGTCTCAAAAGAAAAAAAAAAAAAAAGCATGGAAATTGAGAGTAGATGATATGTCTGGAGAACAATGAAAATCCATTTGGATAGACTAGATGTCTGAGGATGGAGAGAGAGATGAGAAAGAACATTAAGGTACCCAGATAGGGAAGGGCCTTGGTGGCCCTGTCATGGAGCAGATGGGATGGAAGACAGGCATCTTGGGTCTCACGTTGGCCTTATGGTTGACTTGTTGGGAACCCCGTGTGGGAGCCCCCCATTCTCAATCATCTATTTTCTCTAATGTAATATCCTTTTTCTTTTCTTTTCTTCTTTCTTTCTT